CCAATACCACCCAAATCACCACAGCCAACAACCACCACCTCTGTCCTACCTAGATCCACCGCACAACCATCACCAAACCGTCAACCCACAACCACACCAACACCACCCACATCCACACTCACCCACCGTCACTGCAATTGAACGCCGTGTAGCGACTAAGATCTGAGCGAGCGAGCTCACAGTCCGCCGCAGCAACGCTCAAATCGAGGAGCCCAAAAACCAACCACCACCACTATTGCACTACCAAAAGGTTACGGTATAATCTGCACCAGAGAAGGTGAAAGTGCTGGTAGGATCATCATAAGCGTAGCTATAGGATCTGGGACAAGCAGATTTGAACATCTGAGCATAAACGGACGGCTTGCAGGTGGCAGGTGATTTAAACGCGCCGCTACAGCAATTCCGAACTCCCGAAAGCTTCACACGCACTCTTATATGCTTCCCTTCCACCTATACGCAGTTCACTTGGGTAGACCCGATTCAGATCCCTGACGCAAAACGTTGAAGTACACAAACCCGACCCGCTGCACAGCGAAGCTTAGAGATGAAGCGACGCTCGTTGCACAGCGATGAGCTCCACCGTGATCTTCAATGATGCAGGCGACGCTATGGAGAGGTGGGGGGAAGTGAGGCGAGAGAGAGAGAGAGAGGTGAGGGGGAGAGGTGAGGGGAAGTGAGGAGAAAGAGAGAGAGAGTTTAGAGTATGAATTAGGATTAGAGTTTTGATATATTACCTAAATTTTGAATAAATAAACTTTGAACCAGATTTTTAAAAAATTATCTTTAAACCCCCGATTTTTTATAATTTCCCTATTTTTAATGAAAGATAAAGCCCATCAAACACCCTAGTTTCATACTCATGTATTTTCACGTCCCAACAATGGCTGAACTTTACAAAATGTGTCAATCTTGCTATTATAAGAAATAATAACGCAATATAACCTTCCTCAATTCATATGAAAGTCTTGAAGAATACAATTTATACATATTACATCAAAAAAATGAGCACAAGGATTTTCGACAGGGGATGCACATTGGTCGAGCCTTGTAAAGCTCAAACAATCCTTATTTTGCGAATTTCCACACCCAATAATCGGATAGCAATAATATTTGGGTCAAATCTCTTCGATAGAAAGGCATTGTAAAATTATGAAGCCAATCCATAGACATCCGCGGCAAATGACAGCCCAACTGGATATGATCGATGAATTCTCATTTTTGTAGTAGAAACATTTTTGGCAGGAACATCAGCGAGTTTCTGTTCATCCATATTTACCGTTGTTTTTTGCATCTTATTTGTATCATCATTTCCGACAATGAACTGAAGCCCCTGGAAAGTCATACACCCGTGCACGTTGTCAGCTGGGGAAACTGCAAAACATCCACTACTCAAAGCATTTTCAACACAGCTTACCTTTGTTCTGTCTTCAGCCGGCAAAACTCTTGAATGGTCGAGTAGCTTAGCATCGACACCCTGCTTTCAAAGTGGGTAAAAAGGCATTTGTCTTTATAATTAATGGGAATGGGAAAATATAAATATGCTTAGAGGAAAGACTTACACAGCCAACCAAGAACTTCTAATCAAGATAAAACCAACCATTCACAAAGTAGGTTCAACACTAAGATTATAGAGTCAAAAACCAGAAGGCTCGACATGGGCATTAACAGGATGCACATATCTAAGTTGGTCCATCAAAATGAATAAAGAATCAGATTTCTACCAATCCTAGGTGATATTCCAGATTATCGGTTGCTCTACGCTATTCTGAGATTTGCTAGTGTAATCAAACTAATGTTTTCAGACTAAAAAATTTAAGCAGCCATCTAGTCTATCTTCAGCAAACTTTCTATTAGAATTAAGACCAAGGTTAGAATCAATCTCCTTCTATTTAAGGTTTGTAATATATCTCCCACATCCTTCTTGTTGAGAATCTGGGCTAATTTCCAGATTCGCCCCCCGGGATCCTCCCTCGAGAAAATATAAAGAAAAACAAAGAAACAGCAAACGGAGAATACAAACAATAAAAAGAACCCAAGATATGTGAAACACTCCAAAACCAAACAAAAACCACAGGCCGCAAAAGACAGATTTATCCATGTGAAAAGTTGTTATAACCACACATATCTCACACCCCAGACCGCAAATACACACAAGAGCTAACATACTACGAAAATTCGAAAACCACCTCATAGTACGTACCAGGCGAAAAGGCGAGACTACAAAGGATCACAAGGGAAAGCCTCTATATATTGGGAAACAAAAAGGAGATACTTTTGATTTCTATTCGATATGTTAATCCCATTAAAAGTATGAAAGTTAAAT